ACTTGTATTAAGTACATAAATTTGCAAAAAAAATAAACACTTTACTTCAGGTATTGTCTCCTTCTCTTAATTGAGTGTGCGGATATACAAAAAAATTGCGCTTTTAAAAGGGCCTGGTAAGTAGTCAAAATATAGGCTCTCTCTTTTACTTATTTTTGCTTATGGAGGGCTGCCGAGAGGAAAACAATTTCTCCAGATTTGGACAGAATTTAGTGTTAAAACAGAAAATATACTTGACTTTTAATGGGAGAAAATCATATACGCGGTGCAAGATTTTTCCCTCCAAAAGACTTGGTATATTTTTTGATCAACATTAGACACCATTCAAAGAACAGACTTTCTTTTTCATAGTCAATTTTTTCCCGCCAAAAGTCTTAGTATATTTTTTGTTCAAAGACCAGACTTTATTTTTCCATAGTCAATCTTTTCCAGCCAAAAGACTTAGTTTTTCTGTGCGAAAAAAAAAAAAACGACATTCTAACAAAATTCTTAAGACCTGAAAATGTTTTTGGAATTGTGATAAGCCCATTTAAAAGCGCAAGCTTTTTAAACACGAGATTATTTACAATTATATGTTTTCTACACGTAAATTAGCAATTTAACTCGAGTCGTTGCGATAAGTTCGATAGACTTTATTCAGTAAATTTTATTTCTTGAACAGACTGGTAATTCTTTTCTTTGAATCTTTAAACATTATTCATTCAAACCCGAAAAAAATATAAAACGAATCAATTAATCTTTTTCTAAATCCTCTGCACGCAGGCAGTATTGTTAAAAAATTGTTCTCACATGCTGTGTTTATCATAACCTCCTCCCTTGGTTATTTCGCAAGTATCAAGTTAAGACGAAAACATTGTACTCGCACAGACAAGCAAACCTAAGTTGTATGAACAGGAAGAATCTCAAAAGTTATTTTCCGTGACGGGTAAAGGAATATCATCACCATCATCATCAATCCTTTTCATGCCTCGTGGCACATAGGGCCTTTACAGAGTTTTTCCACTCCTCTCGATTGGTTGCTGCAGTCCGCACCTTCCAAGACCTCCAACCTGCCTCTTGCCTTTCTTTCTCCACTGCACGTCTCCAGGTGGTGTTTAGTCTTCACCTTCTCCTTTTACCTTCTGGCGCCCAGCTAATAGCAACATTGCAATCATTATTACGATCTTTCCTAAGAATATGACCAATCAGTTTCCATCTACGAGACGTGGCTTCATGCCTGCCTTTTCCAGTAGCTCCTTGGTGCTGACATAGTCTTGCCATCGGATTCGGAGGATCCTTCGTAAGAACCTATTATGGAATGCATTCACTGCTTTGTCATCTCCGAAAGGAATATACTCAGGAATATACATTCGGACAACATCTGATAATAATTAATGTGATCTGTATTTTATCGTCCTTCACCTTGGATTGATGGAGTGCTAAGCACTTGTTCTCTCTGGACAAATATCGATGAAATAACTGCAACGTTATTTTTGTGAGTTTAGGTATGAAGTGTAAACAAACGGCAAAAATGAAGTCGAAAGGGCAAGATTTCCGTGTAACTCGATAATTCTTTATACACACACTTCTTTGATAAAAGATAGAAATTGCGGAAAATGAAGATAACCTTTGGAACCATTACTTTGTTTCCGAAAAATAAATTTTCAATTCAGTGTCGAGAGCAATCCAGGAATGCTCTGGTTTTACTTTACTTCGTTTTGTGATTGGTCCAGAAAACTCGCACCACTTTCTCAACCGATCAGATTCAAAGCTAAAACCAATTGCGACTGCATTTTCCCGCGTTTTCCCCGCCCTTCAGGCAGTTTACTCGTTTAAACTTCGAACTCTCATTGGCTCCTCAAGATATTTTTCCTTCTCTGATTGGCTTCTGTGACTTCTTTGGTATTGGTTTTACAACACTCAATCAAGAAGCACTCTAATTTGGGGTGACGGGTTAATTATTGGGTCGAAAGTGGTTCGGGATTTATTGCTTTGATGTCGCTTAGTAATGACTTCCTTCTGAAATCGGTCTAAAAATCCTCCGCCATCCTCCCAGACTAAGAACTCCTGCGACTTGGTCACTGACGTTTTTCCACGCCTCAGGGTGCTTGTTTTATCTTAAGTTATCATTGATGTACTCCTACTCCCCATTTGGATATTGTGATACTTCGATTG